CTGAAATAAATAATTAATATTAAATAGAGTTTAACGAAACAAAAATAAATAAGATCTTACATATCCTTGGCTGAAGATTATTGATGGCGGATTTTCGCGGGCTCGTGCGTATTGATTTGCAAGAGGCTACACGCTTTATACATATATGCGTATTCAATTTCCACCTCCGAGCAAAATAATATTCGTGCCGACATCTGTACAGAGTTGTGGCAAGCGATGGGGTCGGTGAGTTTCCTATGAGCTTCACAAGATGGCGAAGGCTGGCGTATTTTCCACCCTCGGTACACGAAGGGTGGTGACTCTCTCCGTCCCCTTTTTCCTCTCGCTCGCAAAAGAAGCTGTTTCCATGTTATAACCGGGTAAAGAGGAAAGCGGGGAGAGGAAGCCATCGGTCGATCTTTAGGGAGATTTTCGTTGATTTACAGCGCCATTATCGATGCGACGCTCGCGCGTCAACCGGTTTCTCCGGGCATATGGAGACGCCGTAAAAGGGCTGTAAATCCATTATTTACACGAGCATGCGAACCAACCGGAAGAAGGTCGGGGCTCTCCCAGTGAGTTACGAGACCGACGGTTTCTACGACGCCTCGTAAATATTTATTTCCAGTCCCAGCCAGAAGCGACACGTCGATAAAACTGATTATGCAGCGCGAGGTAGACAACGCCAGTTCGTACGTCGAGAATTGATTCGTTCGTGCTCATCAGGCTCTCCAAGTATTAATCTGGATTCGAACAATATGAAGGATTTCAATTAGCTCATTAACACACATATTATCGTAACCAAACTTGATGTATAATTTGATCCTTTCATCCCTTAATAGTTCTAATACCGATATTTTACTTCTCTCAAATAAGAGATTACAATGTGTATTTAAAAAAGATTTATTAATCTGCATATTTCGTTTATTGTACACATATTTATTTTTGTCACCATATTATATTTAATCATTTTCCACATTTGTATCTGACTTTAATAAGTTATCACGATGTATGATGGGTGAACGAGAAGCACATTTCATATCGGCGGCCTTAAACGTTTCGAGCAAGTTACGAGCGCGCTGTTTTTACAGCGAAAATACGCCATCGCTCGGACGGAGAGATGATTCCTTTTTTTTTTATTAGAATATAGATTCACGCGAGATGATTTATGAGGCGACGGTGGCGGCGGCATTGCCGTTGCACGCGCGCGAGTCGTTCACGTGATGTGGGATGAAAATATCTCCTCGCATGATTCGCGATACATCAATTTTATGCAGAACGCATCGATCGATCCGCCTTTCAATTTTCATGTAAATTTCGCGGCGATCGCGTGTCCCCGTCGCTTTCTCTTGTTCTCCCCGGCGCTTGTTCCGACTCGAGATCGCTGTGATGTATAGGGCCCAACGGACAGACACACAAGGGTGGACGCGATTGCGCGGCAACCACAATCGCGATGCACCTCGTAAAGGAGAAATGAGATAGAACACATTCGCCCGTTACAATGTCGCCTGTGTTCCGTAAACATTATAGACTTCGATATACAAGTTGCTCGCTCGTAAAAGAAAGCATTGCACGTCTCTTTTAAAGCTTAGCTAAGAGAAATGAAAAGACGATAATATGGTAATTTAGTGTGACACAAAAATAATATCATATATCTCTCGCAATAAAATTAGTAATTTTTTTAAAGATTTAGACACACACATTAGTCTATAAAAAATAAAATTTTATTATTTTTTATAAAATGTTTTTTTTTCTCTTACTTTATAGATACGCATTTGTCAATTTTTAAGGATAAATTTAATTATTGAAACTATTTAATACACTAGAGAATAATCATTAAATTAACCAAGCATATAAATTTAAAAGATTTTAGAGGAAAATATAGAGAAATTCCCAAGTGTATTGATAAATCGATACTCTTGCGTCGGGTGAAAAATATGGGCCGGGTTGTCGTTGTCAGAAGGGAAGCAAGAAAATTCGGTAGAGAGAATGTCACGATCGAGTGTCTTGATTTATCGGGATGTATCGAGTGCACGCCAGCCATTCTATCGAACTCTTTGGAGGAAATAGGAGATACGTTAGTTCGACGAACGGCCGCCTGTGATAATTGAAACCGTTAATTAAATCTCGGGGATAAGCTTCGGGGCTAAATGAGTTTTTAGATCGTCGCCTCTCGAAGTAGCCAAGGGATGAAATCTCTGTCGTTTCATTCCCCATGTCGCTTGCCAATGTTTGCAAAAGATATTTGATCCCTCATATTGTTTTATCTCATTCCGAAACTGAAGAAATTTCTTTTTTTCCACTTTTCAAATATATTTATTGTGAAAACTGAAAACAATTTTAGGAAAATAAATCTAGTTTTATGATAATATGTTTTATTTTGATTTAAATAACTATTAATTTCTATGAAAATATGAAATTTTATTAAATAAATAAAATAATAAAACTTATATAAGTACACATATATTGGCAATTATAAAATGCGATCGCGCTTGATCTACCGATGCTTTATTACATTTGGCGATAAAATGATTTATTTGCAATCGGTGACAAGTATGATATTCACGTGTCAGCAGAAAGTTTCAAACGGATTTTCCGATAAGTTTCTCTCAGAGAAGGCCGTCGTTCTAGTCTAATTTGCGGATCGCTAAAAGGAAACTACGTCGTTCGAAGGATGGGGTGGAGAAGAATTTATAGTTGCCGTAATATCGAAAACTCACCGTGTGAATAGTTCGCAAAGGGGGACGTTATAAATTTTGGGGACTAATCCCATTCTTCCATTCTCGCGAACAAACTCTGGCGATAATTTTTCGTCCGATGTAAATCAGAGGTCCTCCTGGAGGAGCGTCCTCTCCAGGACTCGCGCGCGCGCTCGAAAGCTTCTTAAATACAATTAAAAAATTACCGTGTCTGCAGAGGGTAAGAGATATCGACGACAGCCGAAGAATAATGTTCCAATGGAAATTTTATCTTTACTCGTGTTTTCCAATTGCTGTATAAGAGAATCTTGAAAGAAAGGTTCTAGAATGTTTTAGTCAAAAATTATAGTATTTACTTAATAATATTTTTATACAACTGTAAAATGTTTAATTTATCTCTCTTGTTTCAGGTCAAAGAAATTTAAGAAAATATCCGGTTATGGTGTTTATTCATGGTGAGAGCTTCGAATGGAATAGTGGCAATCCTTATGATGGCACTATACTGGCAGCTTACGGCAACGTTGTTTTCGTTACAATTAACTTTCGACTCGGCATCTTAGGTAAGAAGTATAGATCTGTAAAAAAAAACTTTAAGAGAGACGTATCAGTTTGTCGCGCAGCAAAGATTGGTTTGCATCTTTTTCTTATCGCTCTTGAAGCATGCATCTGTAAGCGGAGAAAGCTATCGATCGATGCACGCCATGCAGAAAAATACTAACGCCTAATATACTTTTACTGTTCCGTATAAATAACTTTGTTACGGCTTCGTCGTTTGCCAAGGCTGCCTGCCTGCCTTGCAAACTTCTTATCTAAATTTTTATCGCCCCGAGCTTTTCAATATCGAACCTCCTCGCCCTCTCAAAGAAAGTTCGCCGCACGATACAAGGCGGTCGACTTATCACGTCACCCCCAACGACGCTCTCCGTCGTCTCAATTTAATCGCAAATAAACCATCCGGTAAAGTCAAGAGAGAAGATAATAATCGGCATAACAAGTAAAACTTCGCTCGAGTGACTATAGAAAATATTCATACGAGCGATTCAACAGCAATGAGGTCGCGTTAGATTGTGGCACGATGCTTTTTCTGGTATATATAAAAAAAAAGACTAAATTATTCTACATTGTACCGGTGTGTACACTATTCTCCCTCTCTCCCTCTCTCATTGTTAAAGTAACCGACGTAGTAGCAGAGCATATATTTCGTTGCACGAGAGCAGCGGTCATGCAAAAGCGTCATTATTCAGAAAGTCCGTTAAAAACTGCCATCCAGAAGCGCGACTCATCGCGACACCCGCAATCCGAAATTGTCGTGTACAATGCTCATTCTGAAGGGGTTAACAGCAAAATTCCCCGACAATCTCTTCTCGCGAGATGACAGCGACGGCGCGATGCAAATGGACGGGAAGAGGCGATGGGGTAAAGAGGTAGGGGGTGGCTCGTGGCTCGCGCGGGAGTGCGGGTATACATTCGGTACATCCGGTAAGTGGAGTGGTTTCGCGGGAGGAAAAAAGAGGCGGACGCGAAACCATAATCATAAATTAGGTTAAAGTGCTGGGGAAGCGCTTAGTAACCCCGACCCGCGCTCTAGGCGGCCCCGGAGTTAGCCCCCGTGAGGAGCCTGCGGATAACTTCGACCCCCCTCGACCCCCCTTCTCACACCCCTGCCCGCCGCTGCTATGTCCGCCCTGTGCGCAAAACAGGGGAAAAATATGGTCCCGGGCGCGCGAAGTCGGCCCTGGAGCAAAAAGAGCCCCGACGATCGCGTTACCGCGCAAAAGTGCTTCATGTTTAAGCACGAAGGGGAGAATTTTGCATCTCCGTGGAGCTAATTAATTGGGACGCAAAATATATACGCGAGGAAGAGTCTCCGGGGATCTTGAAATCTAAAATCCCCTCTTCTTTACCTAGTTATTCGGGATCCCCGATAAGAAAATAAGAAAGGCGTCTCTCTTGGACATTTACAAGATTCTTATTTTTAAGATAACAGATCTTGTTAAAATTTGAACACGATTCCTTAGATTATCGTGTTCGTAAGAGTTCATTATCTTTTTTGACTTTGTAAATTTTCGGTTAATTTGAAAAAATTCTTATCCCATTGTTCGTTCAAATTTGTTTTCTCTAATTTTTATAATTGTAAATTCTAAAATTTCTAGAAGAAATTTTAAGTTCTTGAAATTCCAAGGCATTTTTAATATTTGAAGAAGAATTAACTTTTTCAAGTGTTTCCTTAATTTAATTTATAATTGCGAGACTTTCATTGCAGGTTTCCTGAGACCTGGGATTAGAGACGACACAGCAAGCAATTTTGGATTATTGGATCAAATAGCGGCGTTGCTTTGGCTTAGGGAGAATATCGCGGAATTTGGCGGCGATTTTGACAGGGTCACTTTGATCGGTCACGGAACTGGAGCTATATTTGCTAATTTACTTCTAATCAGCCCTGTTGCCAACAAGAAAGGTAAAGAAAACCAGCAGTTTTTATACTACATTATATTTACAATTCTTAATCGTTTCTCTCTTGCTATAATTCTACAAAGTTTTCGTCGTTTTTCAAAGTATTTTCTCTACGATTTATTTCCCATTTTTATCGTGCCATCGACTCTTGCCAATTTCCGGCAATCGTTTTGGAAAAAACAGGATCTCAAAATGTATCCGCAACGATACTCGCTCGCGAGAATCAAAAGAACGATATGCAATCCGGGCTAATCCCTCCCCTCACTGTAATTGGAAACATTATCCGTCGTCATAGAGCGTACGGTGATCGCATATAGAGATCGCGATTTCCGAGTCGGCCGGAGATAATCGCGGGATTAATTGGAGGAATCAGCGGGTGAGATAGGCATACGCGCATGCATTAAACGCAATACACCTGTGTACGATCGAGGCAATGTTCTGATGCGCGTTTAAACGAATGATTCATCGATCGTAAAATAATTTAAATTAAGGGATTAGCACGATTATAAGTATGAGAGAACAAGCATTTATTTATTAATTATTTACATAATAAATCTGCAAAATATGAGAATTCTATCGGACTGTCGCGTGTCACTGGATATTCAGATATCGACGACCCTTCAATTACCTTTTTCCTCGAATTTCCCCTCTTTTTCGAATAGAGCGAGCACTTGCGTCGCGATATTTCCGAGTTTGACAAGGAGCTAGGAATCACTGGTCTACACGTGTTCGACGGTGAAGCACACATCGACCGCGAGCACTCAAGCACTCTCGGGCATCCGGCGACGGTGCTCTCGGCAGGGTCAGCGAGAACGAGCGAGAAAGCAAGAAAGAAGACGTCGACCATTTTTCACCCGACCGGCTCGCAATAGCGGCCCGGGGAAAAGGAACTTTTCTCTTCCGGTCGAGCGCACAATGCCACCGCGTCCGGCCGATAATTATATTGTGCAATGAAAAATAACCGGACTTAATATTTTACACGTCGAGACAGAAATGCCTGGCCGTGTCATGCGAGGGTTCTCAAATAATTGCTACCGTTTTATACACGTATTTATATCCACACTTTTCCATCATTTGCAGCCTGGACAAACAACTTTTTTCTTAAGAAATTATATATGTATCTTTTCTCTTCAATCTTGCTTAGATTCTTAAAACTTTCGAATTTTAAGTGTGCAAAGAAATTGATTTATTTAAAAAAAAAACTTGTAATAATCCCGAGTACACTTTTGTTTTCTCCTCGAAAGAAAAACCCGATGAGATTTGAGAATTGTTGGACCGCATTGATTTATTAATCTGAGCGACATCCCTTCATCTTGTTGGTGCAGGCTTGTTTAAACGGGCTATTCTGATGTCTGGATCGGCAATGAGCGCGGACGCCATCGGCAAGGCGCCACTGCAAATTACCAAGCAGGTAAAGAAAGCTGCATAATAGCCGTGAATAAAAACGCGAAAAATGAGGATTGATGCGCGCGGATTTTAGTTTCGCGGAATGACAAATCGCTATGCGCGGCATCTATTATCATTAATTCTACGATTGACTTAATTTCTGAATTTTAAAGATCTCTATGCGTTTCTAGTTCTTCTCTCGAGTTCTTAAGGTCGTTAGATAAGTCACTCGCAAATGTTTTAAAAATTTCATAAAAGTGTTTAATGCATAACAAGAAGAAGAAAGAAAGAGAGACCTTTAGCAATATTAAAAATTTATCAAAAAAATAATATATATATGAAATTAAAATGCAAGAGATATTTCTCTTAAAAATGTTTAAAAATTTTTAAAGCATTTGGTTGTAGTTTTGTAAATTGTTGTTTTCCTCTGCATTTCTTCGAATATTAAGATCTATTTCACAGTCTATGATTCACAGACTCTCAAATTTTAAACTGATGAAATTTCCAAATAAATCGATAAATTCCCAAAATTCCAGAATCGTTTATCGCGGATTTTTAATGCAACGATGTATGTTTCGCAAATGATCGTGACCAATGCCGGTGGTCGTTTTTCAGGTGGCCCATGCTCTCAACTGTCCGACAACCAGTGACAGCGAACTGGCGATATGCTTGCGTAACCAGGAGGTAGACAGGCTGCTACACGTGAAAATCCACAAGCCGAAATACGTGCCGGCCTATGCGCCATTGATCGACCGCGCCGTCATCCCCGACAAACCGTTGAATTTAATGGAGAACACTCAACTCTTCGGCAGGTATGGTTTTTCCGTTTAATGATATAGGAGACGAGGAGATGAGATGTTTAAATTCTTGATTGTTGATTAAACGTGAAATAATTGTAAGGAATCGTATCTATATTGATACATATAAATTTCGAGCGAGCAACACTCTTTTAAATGTAACAAATTAAACACACGGGGAATCGTACGTTGTTTTCAGGTTTGACTTGCTATACGGCGTGACCGAGTCCGAGAAATTTCACATCCTGCCACCAGTTGCTTTGTTGCATGGCATGCTTGATGGACAACGAGATGAAGTTTTGCGAGATTATGCCAAAGTAAATTTATTTTTTATCAATTCGCTTATCTCAATGAAGTAGGGTAGAGCGGGGTCAAAAGTAACAATTTGACTTTAGAATTTTATTGTAAAAAAACTATTTCACTGTACACGTTCACTCAGTACCGAGGCCGCAGACGTATTGAGACATGTTGTAGGTTGTTTAGCTTCATGCACTGACCAACGCACGTGTATATATCTACTATATATCTATAGATATTGGAGTTGTTACTTTCGCTCCGTGTTACTTTTGACCCCGCTCTACCCTAATTATTATCTGATGAGACAGTTTCTTTTTCTCGGGATTTTGAATCTTTCAAAGAATTTCCAGATCATTAAATTCTTTGATTCCTACCTATTTTACCTTTTTGTCCCTCTATTTTCAGATTCAATTCTTAAATTTAGATGTTCTGCTGATAATTTTTAGAATTTACTCCAAACTTTATTTGAAATCTTCAGGTTTATAAACAGATATTAGGATAATTAGAATCTCTTTCAGATTTTTAAATCCTGACATTTTTAGAATCTGAAATTTAAACAGTGATATTCTGTATATCAAGAGTATGTCCTCAGGCAACGCACGAACTGGAGCCAGAGCTGATTTTGTCGAAAGAGCTGGAGCAGTACGGCGACTTCTTCAACGGATTCACGAAAGAGTACGCCACGAAGAATCGGGACATGGTGCTGGAGGCGCTATCGGATAGCGGCACCGTGGCGCCGTTAATAATGACTGCCAATTTGCATTCAAGGGCGAACCCGAAGAGCTACATGTACGTCTTCTCGCATCCGAAAGCTATGCAAGACTACTCTGGCGTAAGTAGGTCTCTCAACGATACAACGAAGATCGATTATCGCGGCTCAGACGCCTCTCGACAAAGCGGGACCCGACACGGCACGGGAAAAATGTTGCGCATAAGAAGGAGGGAGTAAAAGGAGGGAATGCGGGGGGGGGATGGACTGGCGGTTATGATGAGTTAAAGTGCACTTCCTTCAACGCTCCAATTCGTGCAGCTTCATGCAACGTTGTTGTTCCCTGATGCGGAGCATTGCTCTCCTGAAAACGAAGAGCATTTCTCACCGCCTCGCTTTATCGGACAATCTGTGTGTGTGTGTGTGAAACGGGAAATTTACTTTTTTTAATTCCCTAAAATGCGAAAGAAAGGAGAAAAAAATATGCTATGGTTTTCTGCAAGAATCGTAAGAAGTGTTGATTGCTCAGAAAGAGAGAGAGAAAGAGAGAGAGAGAGAGAAAGAGTACGCGGTTTCTTCTTTTTTTTTACGAAACTTTAGATCATCAGATTTGTGAATTTATCTTTAATATATATGGTAGTTTAAAAATTTTACCTTTAATAATTTTATACCCCTGTAAGTGTCTTTGACAAAAATCCTAAATTTTTTTTTCCAGTCTATATTATATAAATTAATATTTTTTTCTAATTTTACATTTTTATAGAAATTTGTTTTTAAAACTTAATCATTAAAATTTTCGAACTGAGAGATGAAAATGATGGTAACTTCCAATTAAATCTATTAATAAAAAATTGTGTTCCCAAATTAACTAACGAGCTGGTATTTCAAAAGAGCTCGTACGGCATTTTTGGAATATTTAACATAGTTGGCATTGTATCCATTGTCCCTGGTTTCTTAGTTCGGAAGGAACGAGTTGTGACCTAGTGGCGACCATTATGTTCGCACAGTCGGAGAAAGAAAAATCCGGGTTGCGAACCCATTTGGATTTCGGCCAACTATTTTTATCGGCGTTGCGTGCGCCCTGGCAACGACCTCACCATGCAGTAACCGAGAATATCGCTAAATTGAATGTACCTCCGGGTACAACGCCATCGTTGCGTCAACAAGGATATTAGATTTTAAATCTGCAAATAGCGATTCACGCGGCATACATCATTTCCATGTCAGCTCTCTCTCTCTCTCACTCTCTTCATCTCTCTCTCTCTCTTCCTTTTTTGATCTCTCTCCTGTATACGCGACGAACGCGAGTCCGATGAATTTTAATTTCCACCCGTTCTCGTAAATTCCTCTCTTTATTGAACTTTACAAATTGACGCGCTTGTAAATACGCTCGGTTTATCGGTGCTAAAAATAATTACGAGTGCGATAAATCTGAGAATTTGCATTGAGAAAATTTCAATCGAAAATTGTTGGTGGGATTGATAATGATCGAGTTTCTGCGCTTAAAAATGTATGTAACGCCGATTAGTCGAAAATATAGAAGTTTATCGTTGCTTTTTTTGTCATAACGATGACTGCTTATCTCGATATGTGCTGTGAGCTATTTTGGTTCCGATATCAATTCAAATTCAAGAACCTAAATGTGTTATCGATTATATTTATTTAAAGATTTATATAAATACCACAATAAACGATTAAAAAATTTAAAAGATTTCTTATATCGTAATATTTTCTAAAAATTTTTGAAACACATATGTAATTTTCTTTAATTTGCGTAATAAATATAGATATTTACTTTATTAGAACGATAATACTTTTTTACTTTATATAAACACAAGTATATATAAAGTAATATGTTAAAAGTAAAATAAAATAAATATAAAATCAAAATATCATAATAGATATCACAAATATAAGAATAGAGATTTTAGAAGATATAGAAAGGGACGGAGGGAAGGCGAGGGAGGCTGAAAAGAAGTAACAACCTAAGCTTCGATATTTTCGAGTTACGAGTTGCGTCGAAGTATCGATAAAATACGTATGCCACGGTATAAAAGCGCATTCAGTGATCTTGTTATGTTACAGCAACAACATCAACATACCGTGCACGGGGAGGAATTGCCTTATGTACTGGGTGTTCCATTGGACGGCAGCAAGTACGACTTACGAGGTCGATACGATATGCGAGAGACGCTGTTTTCAGAAGCCATTATGAACTGGTGGTGCAGCTTTGCCTATAATGGGTGAGTTGCTAAAAAAAATGCATTTAACAATTAAGTATATATTTTACAAAGCATTCTTTGTGCATTTTATTCTATATAAAAACTTAAATTTAAGCTTAAAGGGATTAATCAAAGAGAAAGGAACTAACGGATGCACTATATAAGATTATACAAATAAATATTGAAATATCTTTTTTCCATTAATTTTCAACTGTCAATTTTTACATATTTAAAATATTTATTTTAACATAATTCACACAAATTAAAACTTAATTGTATATATAAATAACAATGTAAATATGTGTATTAAAAAGCTTTATTAATTTGAATATTGGACAAAGAGAAAATATATTTAAAATGCATTCTTCTTGTGCATTACTCATGTTATTTTCAGAAATGTTCAGCGTTTTATTCAGTGCAACGAATTATTAATTGAAAAATATGAGAATATAAAATTTGCAGAGAGCTAGTTGCTGGTAATTACAAGTTTAATGAGAAAAATAAACATATAAACAAATAATTTATAATAACGTACAAAATAATCACATTGCGTATTAGAGTTAAATTAAAGTTGGTATTAAAAGTTGAATGTATGAGTGATGGTAACCGTGTAGAAACGATCGTATTTAATAATAGTGGCGAACAATTGTTGTTGGGCGTTGACGCGAAAATTTCTAGCTGCTAAAGTTAAACTTGGCATACACATATTCGGGAACAGATTTTCAATTAACTAAACATTCAAACGTTTAATTAAATCGAACGGCAATATATTTTTCCGTTGTACATTTGGAAACAACTAAACTTTATAAACATCAATTTAAAACACAGTTTTACAAATATTCAAATATAGAATCGAATAAACTAAAAGATAAATAACTTTAGGAATAGAATTTAAAGAACAATTTTGAAATGTCAATTAAAATATAAATTAGTTGTTTTAAAAATTAAAATCATGTTCTTATAAAATAGATAATGTGGGAAATATGCAAAATCTAGAAATTAATAATGTTTAATTTAATATACATATTTTTAAAATAAATTATGTTGCAATTGTGATTTTAGAGAACAAAAATAAATTCAAGACCTTTTAAGAGTGACACATGTTTTTGATGCTTTTAACTGACGCATTATTCTAAATTTAATAGCTGAATGAAACGATGTCAGCAAAACTATTAAAGAGGAAGTATAAAGCTGACAAACTTTATTTGACAGTTTATTAAAAATTTCTGTTAAATTAAATTATTAAATTTTTTCTTATTTTGTTTAATTTTCTTGTTTTGTGATAAATGTAGATAATATATAATACACGATCGTTTTTTCGTTCGGATTTTTGTCTTAAATTAACTTGGCGCAATTTGACGCTTGTTATGTTGATGTTCGATATTGTCGATTTAACGATCCGGCGAATCGGCTGTTTTAATTTGCACGATAAAAACAGATTATCTACAGCTACGAATAATTTCGACATTTCGTTTTATCCAATAAAACGTTTCATTTTATTCGGTTGAACAAGTCCAATGTTCTCGTGATACAAAGCCACTTTTGTTTAAGCCGAAAGAAAGAGACATAGAGAGGTATATCGAATTTCTAATTATATTAAAAATTTATTTCAACATATGAAATCGTTTAAATCGTGAAATGTGAGTTAATGTTAAATTATATTATAAATTTAAAACAAATCTCTGCATGAATAAGAACATTAAATCTGCAATTGTATTAAAACTTAAATTCTTAAATTTTTATATCATTAATTTTAAAATAGACTTATATTCTCATTTGACGTATAGCAAAAATATTAGAATCTATATTAAAATAAAATTAAAAAAAATATTAGTTATCTAATTAAAAGTATTTTTAATTTTTTTGTAGAATATTGTTCCGTTATTAATATTTATGCACAACAAAATTATTATGCAATTTTAAATTTTGAAATTATTTGTCCATATAATTTTCATGATTTTAAAATAAAATATTACACAAAATTGAGAGTATTCAAATACTATATATACCTTTGTGTTGCTTATTTTAAATTAATTATTAATTGTTATGTTTGTTAAAAATACGTTTAAGTTTGAAAATCTTGATGACTGATTAAGAATATAAAATTCCTTCTTTCGCAAACACACAATAGAATTTCTGCAAAATAAGTTTGGAGGGGGGGGAGGGATATATTTCCTCTCCTCTTCTATACTTTGTTATAGAATATTTGTAAACCCATTTTGCTGCGAAATATAGAACCACGTTTTGCATTGCGTCCACACAATTTTTTATCAGATACTGCTTTGAACATGTGATTTGACTAAAGTTTGTTTATTTACAATGGGATAAACGTTGGAACTCAAGGAAAACTAGGTCCGTGCAATTAAGCAAAACAGAGGTATTTAGATTTAACGTGGTAAACGTTACGCGTTTGTAAACGTCGCGTAGCATGATCGATATTTCATGTGTCGCTGTATCTACCGTAAGGGCGCGTCTCTTTGCGAGAATAAACGACGCGCAGCATCTGTACAGGAGCACCGTTGGTGATAACGAATGACAGAAGAATAGCTTTTTTTTGTCGTAAGCTGCGTGAAATCTGCCGTCGATCGATCAAATTCATCGCGTTCGTTCAACCGGTTCGAAAATCATTTTCTCGCGTGTTTGAATCATCGCTGTGCGCATGGACAAGTGATGTATTATATTTTTTAAATTGGCAACGGCTTACAAATGTTGTTTAATATCAGAGATTCTGCGTGGATTATAATGTTACGCTTTAAAATTTTGAATGAATATAGGAAAAAGTTTGTCGAATTAAAATTCCACACTCTAGATATTCAGATTTCTAAGCCTTTAAATTAAACAAAACGTCGATGTTTATAATTTTCAAATATTCCGGAAATTTAAATTCCGCAATATTGAATCCTCAAAAGGTCCGATTGCGCATTAATTTTACAGTTATTTTATTTTATTTTAGGCAGAAGAGACAGTATATATCGAAAATTCTCATGGATTATTATGGATTATTCGATATCTCCTTCTCCTATATCACATTCCAATTTCCTCACGCTATTAATCCCAAGTCGACCTGCATGGTTCGACAAAAGTTATTGGGCGCATTTCTGCTGTCGCATTAATCATTCGTCATTATTTATGAAAGAAAATACTGGAATCCCACAGGAATCCGAATGTCGTCAAGCAACATCCCTACTTGACTAATGTGAACAAGGAATGGGGTCAGTACGAGATCGAATGGCCAGAATACGATCCTATCAATCAGACATATTTCAATCTAAGTAAGTCTGCAAAAATCTCGACACTGGTACACCTTGAAGTAAGAAAGTTCTAAATAAAAAGCTTTTACCTTAATAATTTTTTGTCAATATATTTTATCTTTTCACACGGTTAAAATAATAAAGCGAGATTTATTACACATATATCTTGTTACAAGAGATTTGATTTATCGATCAAGAAATTCTTTAATAATTCTATTAATTATTTGATACGCGACACATTCTTTCTCCCATCCAGCCATACCGCCTAACATAGGTACGCATTATCGCACGGCGGAGATGCAGTTCTGGAATGAGGATCTGCCCAATCTGCTCAGGCACCCGAATAAAGACATCTCGAGCCCGACACGATCGAGAGGACCGCGACCGCAGATTCTCGACTTCGCCGACGGGATCGGCAAATATGCCAACAGTACCGCAAACCGAAAGTACGAAACCTACGGTGCCAGGTAGGTAATAGGGATGGTTAATTAATTACACGTGTATATTTGAAATTCTTGCTATCGGAGGAATTTCCCTATTCGGCAATTGAGAATTTTATACAAGGTGCTAGAGAAAAATGTGCGACGAACGAGAAATCGATTTTGCTAGAAAAATATTAGTTTCAATTTATGTTAATTTACTTAATTTTGTATTCATACTTTGTTAGTGTTATGGATTGTAAAACATATTTTTCCCAGCAGATACACAACTCCGTCGAACACGTTTTCTAATACGGACAAGTCATTTTCAATCGCGATTACGACGGATGGAAGCATCGGGCAGGGATCTACGATAGAGACTGACACGTTAAAAAGCTCGTCAACGATGATGATGGTGATTGTCTTCTTCGTGGTGTTTATACTGATAAACTTTACGGTCTTTCTGTACATCTACTATAAAAAGCAGAGCGTAAAGGGGAAGGAGAAATCGTTGAAGAGGCGAGCCAGCGAGAAGAAAGACGACTCCGTCAAGAGGTCAAAGACTGATAAGCATGAGAACCATTACGGCCAGCTGGGCTACAAAAGCGACAGCAAGCCAGATCTGAACGACGTGATAAAGAATGACAAGGCGTACGACAACAACTCCAATTTTGGACGCAGATCGAAACTGTCGAGGCAAAACTCCAGCTCCACCATTGACACTCACATCAAGGTCAGGGAATGGATTCAACAGGAAATTGTGCACAGGTCAGTGAATTTCAGAGGAAATACCTTTTTACATAATAATAACTAATCTGTAATGTTACCTTTTTGAAAAGTTTTGAATATTATTTAATGCATATTATATTCACGAATATTACGTTCATATACCAATGTAAATTTTCTCGTTAAAATGAAATTAATATCTTATTGAATTCATTTTTCGGTTAGAATCGTTGGATTATTTTATTTTAGACTGTTTTATTTTGTGAGGCTGCTTTATTAGGCGATCAATTATTCAATGATTTTCTTGGAAAATTTAAGATCTTCCCTTTTTAGAATGTCAAGATTAAAAATGCCATTTCAAAGTTTACATTTTCAAGTCAAGTAAAATTAAATAGTTGGTTTTAACTGGACTAAATAATTACTAGGCTTGTATCAAATTCTTCGTCATTCTGACATCGTACTGTAAACTATTTGCCGTTCTCGATATAACAGTCAACGTTCGAACTCGATTTGTATATCTTTCCTAATTGCAAAGAGCTGAAGATACTTGGAGAACGCTTACCCTCGCAAATTCGTCGATCGCGGTGAGGGTTGCGCGATTCAGTAATCCAATTAGGGATTCCGCTTAAAGAGTGGTTGCTTTGAGACGTGGCCCGTATCACTCAAATCAGAGAATTGAGTTTTCTCTCTCTCTTTTACCGTCCAATATTTCGTTAGGTGTATTGATTCGCGAAAATGGTTGACAAGTGCTACCCTACAAAGTTAATTGAACTCGTTAGAGCGCAACTTCGTATCTCGTCATATAGCAAGCAATATTTGATTTGCAAATAATTCTGTCAACAATAACGTATCTGTATTTGTTGCCACGCTGATTAAAACAAAAATCAGAACGATAAAAAAACATACAATATAAAGGAAATTTTATACACGACGGCACAATAAAAATAAATAATTTTGCAAAATGTTTGCGTATCACGTATAAATTGTGTAATAAATTTTTTAAATATTTTCATTTACTTTTTTGGGCAGGCGAAAAAATTTTTTTGGCATATCAGTTATATTAAACAGAATATACATTTTATATTTTTGAACTGCTCATCATTGCGACATGTATTATTTTTCCGTTTGTTATTGTGAAATATTGGGCATCGTAAAATCATATATTTAGAATATGCTTGATTATATATATAAACATGCATCATAGCACGCGAAACAAACAAATAAATGTGTATTATTAAACGAATGCATTTGATAAAAAATAACTTGTCGTTTGTTGATGTAGTACATGAGAATAAAATTAATTTATTTCCGACGTGAGAGTACAATTGTTATTACTACTAGTCATTATCATTTACGAATTGATCTATTGTGCCATTGATAATAACTATCGATAATTAATCTATCAATAAAAATGGGCAGTATTAATAACGTTAAGTTTAAATTTACGTAAAACTTATAATGGGGTATTATTTGATGTATATTGTAACATTCAATTGTACGCGTGGTAGTTTTTTCAGTAAAAATATTATTCATTGATCGAACATCTTTCGACAACGTTGATCAATGTTGTTTTCCAATTATTTTTTATTGCGAATATTAATTAAGTTATGGAAAAAATTACTAATGCATTATTAATTAATAAATGCTTTTAATTGTAGACAAAAATTGAGAGTTCTAGATTTAATTTGGAAGAAAATAGTGAATTTTATAGTATTGCATTTTTAAAGATTGTTTCATAATATATTAATTGATTCCCGTAAATACCTTTTTCAGGAATATTTGTAATAATCGAATCTTTTGATTTTGTTTTATCCATATAGATGTTCACCGAGATTCCTGCGCAAAACGCGAGAAACGTTGCAGAAAGAGCATCAGGAGAAGCTAAACAAGCAACAGCAAGAAGAAAAGCAACGTATAATAGAAGAGGCGTTGAAGGAAAAAAAGGATGAACCGATCTACGACGAGAGTCCGGCGCTAGTTGTGCGTCCTGGAAAAAAATTAAAGCTGCCAAAGATCTCCGTGGCGATCGATGCCACACCGGCGACGAGAACAGAGTCCATCCTTAATCAAGTGCCTATCGAGTTAACGAGGAGCATCGATATGTCAAACGAATACGAATCGAACGCGGATCAGCTGATGACACCCGAGGTTATTGTCATCGAGCATCATCACTCTAGAAGCGATCCCCTGCCGATGGAGAACGTTCTGAAGACGATGATGCCAAATTTCTCCACTCCCAGGATTTACGAATCTGATACAGAAAGCGCGAATAGCTTGTACGCTAAGATTAATCCCAAGCTAAAATCTCGTCTGCCTCGTCCCGGTTTAGGGACAAACGTCGAAGTGTCCAATCAATCAAAATACGAGAATCCTCCCGGCGAAGAAATCTATATAAAGACCGGGCCGATTTTAACGACCTTTGGCACAGGCGACGTAAACGTCACGTCTCGGGATCCAATCGTGGAGAGAGAGTGCATCAGCCCCGAGGAAGCTTTGCAGACGATCAAACGCCGAAATTATCCCAAGGTGCTACCGGATATCGAGAAGAGGCGATCACTCCCGGCGCCGAATAGCCTCTTTGTATCAAAACAGCACGCAAATTCGTTGAAAGATTACAAGAGCGGAAATCGAATGAATTTATCTTCGAGTCAACCGCCATTACCACCCCCCAGGATATTTGGACCCTCGAAAAGCCTCGAGAAGAGCGCCTTCTTCGCCGAGGAAAACGAAAATCAAAGCGAGAGCGAGCCGATCACGACGAACCTGCACGTAGGACCGTTGCTGTAATTCCGATCCTAATATAATAGATTCTTTGGAGGAAAGTAGAAGTGTCCAGCCTGGCGGAAGCGTGGATACCATTTACGCTAATCCAAAATGTCCGCTTCATGGAGGTCAATATCGCTTCTCGCCGACTTCGCACAGCGTCGACGAAGATATCGGCAAATCCATTGCGCTCTTGGAAGCGGGCAATCCAAATTGGTACAAACCAAGCGAGTTCCCGGCCGTAATGACGTCGACGGCGTCGGAGCCGCAAATCGTGGTCGGCAGGAACGAGAGAGACGCAGCGGTGGAACCGAAGATCGTGATCACGCCGAGAGCGGTTAATCCATGCCAGGCCAATCAATATCCGAGCTCGTCGACACCGGCATCCGAGGACAACAAGATTGAGCACGAACCTAGCACGGTTTCGAGCGATCCAGCGCGAGATGGAGGATCAACGGAGAGGTTGGACGATTCGCTGGCGGAGAGGAGGGAACCGCGGATAATCATCACGCCGCGGGAGCCGAAGAATTGCACCCCGGCGAGTAATCTGAAGCAGCCGAAGATCATCATAAAGCCGACGGCGAGTCTGCCGAGAAGCCGGGATCAGAGGAATATACCGAAGGTGTCAGCCATACCGTCGCCGGAACAGCAGAATTGCCAGAACATCGAGAGAGACAGGGCGCTGGAGCAGAGGGAGAAACCATCCCTAAGGGAAAAGCCGAGGGTTACGAGAATACCGTCGTTTTCGCGCAGACGAGAGGAGCCCGGGATTGAAAAACCGTCGTACGTAGAGAGAGCGGAGATCGCGTCGAGGGCAGAGACGGTGCCCAGTAAAATCACGAACGCGCCATCGACATCCGACGCTAGGTCGTGCATACCGACGCCGACGACAACGCCGATGATGCCGAGAAGCGAGAGGACCCCCAGCACGGACTCGTCGTCTGCCAGCAACGGGAATTCCAGTAACTCGAATACCGGTACGATCAAACGCAAGCCGGCGAGCAAGAAATAATTGGCTCTCGCGAATGTAGATTCGGGATCTCACATCGGATATTTCAATCAGATGTCGATGCAATTACAGCTTCCGATTTTTTTTTGTCATAAAGCATTTGCGAATATTTAAAATATCGTGATCAAATGATGAGTGGAAAAATAATCTTCTCTATGAATTTCACGTTTAAAATTTTTTCTCATTTGTGGCATCACAAATTCGTAAAACAATGGGACAATTATATTTTTCTTATATAAGATTAACATTATTTATTACTATTTCAGAGTGCGATAGAAAAGTTTTATTTACGTATAACTCTTTTTTATTATTATTATTATTAATTCTACTATTTTTCTACGACTAATTAAAACATGCAAGTACACAACAGATACATATAATATAATTGTATATCGTGTAAATATTAATATTATCAATGTTTAAGGCAATATAATATTATTAAGATTTAAGCCTGTGGAGCAAACCGTGTTACATGTTTATAAGCTGTCAAGACTGCTCTAATTGCGAGTAATTGTCGATTGTTTGAACAATTTCATAAATCAATTTTAGATATCATTAATTAGACATAATCCGCTAGTTGTTAATAATTTTGAAAGCGCTCGCGCTCTTTTATACGCGTGTAACTTTATACGATGAAAATATATGTTTTTCGTACTTTTCCAGCAGAAAATCCGATATGAAAGAATAAATTCCTCTTCGCGATTTATCATCCCTTTACGTAGACGGCGCACCATGTATCCCACGACTTTACATGCGTCCCGCAAACTTTGTTATTAAGTGAAGCAGGCTCTATAAGTCGCGCAGATGCAGCGACCGTGAACGGCAGGGCGAATCGGGACAAAGTGGTTGGCGAATTCTCACTTATATTACCAACGGAATCGAATTGATTTTCAAAGTTCGCCGAGTAATGGGATTCTCTTCGTCTCCAGCCGTCGCCACGTGGAGAGGAAAATGGCGTTTTCGCACGAGCTCCCTCTCCTCTCCCGCAATCAGTCTATCTCTATCTCACCTCCCCTGCCATCTCTTTTATCCTTCTTTTCTTGTGTTTTCATTTCATCTCGTTCTACGCGATTCGTTCATCTCGATCCGTTCGAAAGCTTTGCTTTCCGATCATGGTTGAAGGAGCGGAAAAGTGACGGGGCGAGTGTTTTGACAATCGGTGGAACTCTTGCGAATTTTCACGAATTTTTATAAATTTTTATATAGAGTTTCTTGTTTATAAAATATTAGGAGAAAAATATAAAATGCGAGAGAAAAAGTGAATGATGAAAAAAAGGAAAAAGAGGAGAGTAAAAATATTATACAGTTCAAACTAAATAAAAAAAGGGGTAACTGCAAGGATATCAATAATAATAATATGTGATTTTTTTATATAACGGCACATATGAAATCTAAAAAGTTTTAACGAATCGAAATGGATAATTAAATAACCCCTTTTGATCTTATCGAGGAGGAAAAATCGACCTTCAAGATTGACTGAGAAATTTTCTCGGTCAATCATTCGCCAAATACAATATATTTGGATTCTGCTCTGTCATCAGTTTGAATCAGGCTGAACTGCAAGACACGTGCAATCTGACAGCTATAACTCGGTCATATCCGCGGAAGCTGGAATATGCATCTCTAAGTTGGCGTTTAGATGCCGGTGTTGTCTCTCTGCCTTATGCGACAGCGTGTAACCAGTAATCATCCACCGCGCACAACGAAGCCCTCGGTCGTCTTGCAGTCGCCGTGACAGGTGCGTGACACCGCGTGACCCATTGTCGGAATGATATACTATCAGAAGTAACGGAGGGAACAAAAGACGTCTTCTAGAAACATCGCCGGAATCGAGTTGAGATTTCTGTAGAATAATAATGAAATAGAGCGAGAATCATTCCTCTCTATCTTTTCATAGGGATCTCCATAACATTTAAACTTAAAATTTTCTATCTCTTCTATATAAAAGCGGTTTTGTCAGAGATCAACAATATAGAAGCTGAAACGGAATAATTAGTCACAAATCGAGCATAAAGAAAGTCTGCAACAAGCATAGTATTTGAAAAAGTATGTCAATCATCGAGAAACTTTACTCGATAACGTTCCTAATATTATAATTAATTAAGTATCTTTTTCTTTGAATCTAAAATCTGTATTTTAAATTGAGACAAATAAAAGCGCGATAAAATTAGTTATTTAAGCTTAAAAATAATGATTAAGGATTCTTTATTTTTATTTATTTTATTTATTTATTTATTTTAATTTTATTATAAAGAATAAATTATATTTGAGTTCGAATAAATCGTAATAATTTAGACTTTTATAGTTACAATTGCGCATAAGTTTACGCCGATGTCGATGAGAGGGATAATTTCCATATGATTATCTGCGGCATGCGCGTCTAATTATCGCACGATAATCAGCGATTAAGCACGAACCCGTGCGCCAACCTCATTATTATGTCCCGGGCGGCGTGTTGGAGGTGCTGCGCGAATGCATGGATACATAATTTCGTCTTCCCCGTCTGAACCAATTAATAAATTTGCACCGGCTGCCTGCCCGCGGGACAAGGTCGGCCCGTCCATTTCCACTGGCGGCCATTGTTTCCGAGACAATGCCAGCTACTTGGCAGTTGGAATACATTGTACCATCCAAGAGAGATAGAGCTACTGAAGGCGATGTCATATTAATTAGATTTCGAAACGAATACACAGGTATCTCTAAATAACTGCGTTTCCCTTTAATTAGAATATATGGACAATTGGGAATAATCACATTTAAAATAAAAGGCTACAATAGTTTTTTTTTCTTTTTTTTTAATAGGAGATAATATGAGAGGTCAATTGCGACGCATGTTTTTCGAGCGCTTGACAATGCATTGTTTTGATTGATGCATTTTAATAGTATTTTATTTCAGAATAGATTCTTAGTTGAAGCCGTATTCTTTTCAAATACGATTTGCGTTGATTGTTTGCACGCACGCGATGCTAATCAATGTCATGGCGTGTGGTTTGAAAGGAGTGTCCTATATATCTCTATAAAAACGATCCCTTTCTTTCAAGTTCAATCTGCAGGAAGAAAAGAAACAGACAATAGTTTGCTCAAAAACTGCAATCACGTCTCCTGTACAAGTTTTCATTAACGAGATTTGGTAATCTTTGAATTGAATTTGAAAATTTCAATCTCTTTTTTAAATGTCTTAGAAATAAATTCCAAGAACAATATCTATACAATTTTAGAGAATCGAGAAAATCTTGAAAGATCCAAGAGGATAAATTTGAAATAGATAAAAATTCTACAGTTAAAAGGTCGGAAAGATTTAAGATTGGATAGAGACCCCAAGGTCAATATTTGAAGATCCAAAGAAGATGCTGGTAAAATTCTTGAATCAAATAAACGGAAAACAGATTTAAAAAAAAATATCTCTGAATAAAAGCTTGATATCTTACTTCGGAATTGCTGTGATCCATGAGAAAACAATCTCTACGTCGTCTGTGAGACGTGCCGTGTTTGATGATGGCTATCTGATATTTATCAAGTTTTTTATGAGATAATTTCGCGCATTTCTTTTCTCTCATTCTCTCATTAAATACATTTATTTAGCTTCTTAATACTTCGTATAAATGAGAAAAGTCACTTTAAATTGATGCATCGATATTCGATGCATTAAAATTAACTTCTCTCCTGTTAATCTTTAAATTTTGAGGTATGTTTTAGATACATTTTATATATATTTTAATTAAAAATAGATTCTTTAAATTTTATATCTATGTTAAAGGTATGATTTTACGAATGGAATCTATTTTAATATTTAAAAATTAAAATATTTGACACATTACACTCTACATATTAATAAATAGATTATTTAGAACTTTTTTCAAAAACATTTGTCGAATATAACACAGCGGCTGAGAAGGTGACGTAACTAACCAACACAGGTTCAATAATTCTTTATTAAGAAAGTTACGAAGGATAACTTCATTAATGTTTGTACCTGTTCGACAGACGCTAGGGGCGATCGAAGTTGAAAATTGTCTGTCGTCGTGGCGACACTCGATGGCAACTTGCGGCTTGCCGACTTCAAATCCAATAAAAAAGTACACGTGCACCATAATGTCTTTACAAGAGATCAATTTTTGCCATTTGACGACCAATTTTTTTGCGTTAGGCACGAAATCAAATTGTTCATACACATTCATAATTATTTATTAATGAATAAATTAATAATTATTTATTAATGAATAAATCGAAAGTATCCGCAATTAATTATCGGGATTTCTAAAAATCTTTTAAAATAACTAAAATTTTTAAAATTTATGTAATATTTAAAATTTTTTATATTCCTAAATTCTTTTACGACTTTAGTTTGTCTAATCATTTAGTTTATTCTATTTATTCTATTTATTCATAAGCGATCCGATGTTTCGATTTCTTCTTATTTCTTGAATCTTTCAATTTGAGTATCCAATGTAATTATCTAATAATTTTTATGATAAAATAATATTTACATGTTATAGAAAACGAGCTGAAATAAACTTACCCCAAGCAAGCTTTTCTTTGAACCCCCACTGATTCGCATTGGCCAGTCTTTGCGGATCTTCATTTCCATCTGTGAAGTAAATCGGATCTTCTCGTCTCTGTACTTCTTTTTACTCGATTTTCACTTTGGCAGAAGTGGGAAAGCCAGCGCGAGAAGAGTGCAATTTGGCGTTGCTGGTTGTTGCGAGACACGAATGCGATTTTGCCTCTGCATTCGCGGTTCGTTAGAGTGAAAATCTTTCGACATCGGTCGCTACGAATTACCCGACGATCCTTTATAGTATGCTTGATGGCGACGTGTGACATGATAAAGTTGATTGCTCGGCTACTCAACATGTAAATTGTGCCTTAGCATTCTCGATTTTCATATGTATATTGCTTTCTAATTTCACAAAAGAGAGAGATTGTCTAGATACGAATGCGCGATCAATATCATTACACTTGCTAATCAAAATTTTATAATAATAAAATTGTATATATTAAAGAGAGATATAATACTCTAAAATTAATTTATTATAATAGGTTTTATACAAAGATAGAGTTAAATCCTTAAGTCGCAAATTTAGTTGTTATTAATAGGATTGCGAATTGCGCGCGATCTTTAAAGACTCTTGAAGGACTTTGTATTGGAGAACATCTTTGAAGTTTAGCTTAGTATCCTTTCTCGCAAAACCGAGAACACCGTCCTCGTTTAAACTATTGAGAGATCACTTACAGTAGGCTTCGCAGGCGCCCATTATTCACTGCGATCCGATTACGTGAGCTTTAGAGTTTCTCGCGGCACTTCCTGAATGTTCTTATTAAGAACATCGACCGAGCTACGGTTTCCGGTTAACCACCCTCTTCAGGCACGTCTTCAACGTTACCGTCTAGAGCAAATTGAATTTCGTTCTCGGTCATTTCCGCGGCTGAGAACCGGCCGCGGGTGAGAAGCTGTCACCCCTTCTGGTTGACAAAGAGCACGGCTTGGTCCAGCGGAGAAGACACGACGAGACGTTTTCTTTCATGCACTTAGACATCAGCAACGTCTGCATCCTGTCTCCAGAATGCCCAACAGGACGATTCATCTTCCGGGGGATTAGAGCGGGTTGAATGCCTCTGAAATGGATTTGGTCCTCAGAGCTCAAGGTGTTTTTTTCTAGATCCTTGAATCCTTTGAAATCCCTTTGGACTCTTTCGAGTATCCTCTCGGTTTTGCGATAATCGAATTTTTGGGTCGGAACTTTGAAGATTACACGGAATAATTTCTTTGGAATATTCTTCGATTTCTCTCTTAAAACTTGTTATTCTTTTTTCAGTTTAAAGATTTTGAAATCTCTCGAAAAACGACATTTTTGTACTTGTTTCTTTAAAAAAATGCAATTGGAAAAGTAAATTATTTATCATAAATAACTCTCAAATTGGTGCAGAGAATACATATAGCGACGTGATATCTAAAAGTTTTTATCGCCTTTTACGGATCTTATCGTGGAATAAATTTCATTCACGCGCGAAAGAACTCGTGGACCCGGCCGTTAACGAAATTAGTAGTCCCGCCGGGAAACTTTTTCACTGAATCCTACGTACGTTGAAAAAGTTCCGAACGCTCCCACATGCTGCCGGAGTAGGACGGAATCCTCTGATATATCTCGCCGAATTTCGGCTACGTGGGATCACAATAGAGGCCTGAAAAAGGACCAGCTGAGCACGAGTATATCATTCTCAGCTTGCTCCGTTTACTCTGTTTCGGTCCGTTGAATTACGCTGAACATGTAGCACTTTGAGCATGATTAATACAAGTGTTAAATCCAGTAAGGAGAGAATATCCTATATCCCGCATGTTCGTGAAAATCAGATAATTTCGCATGTGAATGTTCGATGTCGAATGTAACGATGACAGTAACGCGAAGAGACCCTACACTCAAAAAAAATAAACGGTTTACCAGAGTGTTTCTGCTTCGCGATATAATTTATAATTTCTATATTATTAATTTTTAACTCTTAACAATAATCACATCTCACAAATTTTTATCGCTTCCTTGTTAATTTTATACTATGATGTTCGAATTTATTGAAAAAAATGTCACTTGTCCTGGAAAGCTCGTTCTCGTATCAAAATTATTATAGTTTTATAAAAGAGTGATAGATTTTATTTTATCGCTAGACTTGCATTTTTTTATCATCGATATATTTCTACCTTATGTTTAAAGTATTTAACATTTCTCGACATCTCACAAATTCCGTCGTCTAAAATTTCAAATTTCCTGGAACTATTATTTTGATTCTTCGCATTCTTTCGTTATTTCCATAACATAGTTGAATTTTCACATTCACCAAAGTGTCAAAGTAACGAATATCGAGTTGTGCACAGCACGTCAACGCATCAACCACAACATTGCAGACGTCCCAAATTACAGTGTCAATAGTCGTGAACAACATTGTCCGTTGCAGGTGCAACTGAACCTTTACGTGTCAAAAAAAGTGGTCTTTCTACCACTGAGCGTTTACTCGACTCTCGTTTAGTCTAATGCAACAAAAATATGCTTCTCTTGGAATTTCAGAAGCTTCAAGTTGACAGAAAAAAAAAAGAAAAAACATGTTTCAAGGGGAAAAAAGCTTATTCTAAAAAAAATATTTAGTGTAATCTTCAAAGGGAGAGAGAATTTTCATTTAAAAATTCAGTCAGTTTTCATAAAAGAATTCTTTTTATTTTAAGTAAGGTATTATTATTTTAATAGAGTAAATTTTAACAGCACATTTTCATGTATGTAACAGTACAAAACTTCGATCCGGGAATGTAAGGCCTCTTCCGCTCGAGGAAGCCGGCTCGCTATTCACGCGTGAGATTAATTAATCTCAAGATCTCGGCCGGAAGACCCGACAGCGCAATCGAGCAACCCAATTAGCGCTCCTCGGGCGCATAGCTCGAAAGCTCTCGAAGCTCTTGCTCAAGCGGCGCGGGTTTATTCGGCACGTTTGGGCTCGCGAGTCCTTCGAGAGGACATCGATCTAAGAGGTTCCCGCCTCGCGTGTGAGGAGCCGATACGCAAACGTTCTTTAACAAGTCCCTAGATGATCCTAAAGTCACCAGCAAAAGGGTCCATCTGTTGGCAAAACTGAATCGATAGCCGGCTATCCCTTTCTTCCCGCGTCCCCACGAGTCTGCGCGGCGCGTTTCGACGATGTTCGAGCTTTTCAGACATTCCAGCTTGTAAGGCCGGGTTACACTTGACGACGCTCCGATTTTCCAAAGTTGGAGCGTCTCTCTATTATATTTATGCCATAATAAGTCGTATTTATTTCAAAGCAATCAAATGGTTACTTCTTTTTATAATATAAAATTTTTGTAATTAAATATATAATTTATGGTGGAACAGATTACTTTCATTTATTGTTTGATAAAAACTTTGTTGCATCTTCTAATTTTAAAATTTAATAGCAACAATATATTCAAAATGTTATAAAAAACACAATGATTTTAACGGGTTTTTTCATGTGTCATTAATTGAATCTTTTTCATGGGTAACTTTACGAAATAAATTACATAGATGGCATAATTGATTTTATATTATACCAATTAAACAATGAGTAAAATTCTAACGTTATCAATTATTTTAAGGGATGCTATTAACGCAAAGAAAAACTCTCCTCGAAAATTTAAAATTTTTCAACAGGATCTTTCAGAAAATTCATTATTAAATTAGTTATCATGGAATATATCGAATATTCCGCATTAAATTCATCTACAAAAACAAGTTTAAGCGAGCCTGGGCAGAGTGTCATGCTTGCGGGTCCACGTAGGAACTCTGGCTGCCTGGCGTGCTTCGCAGCATCCGGACCCGAAGTGTAATCCGCGGAATCGACCGTGGCGCGCTCGGCAGACGAGAATGGAGGCTCTGGCGTCGCGTTGCGCGAGAGCTTGCGGAGCTTTCCATTCCGGTACCGTAGTCCGTCTCGCGAGCTTCGCGGCGACGTAACACACGTCGTATAGTGCCGGTTTAACGTCGCAAGTGCCGCCCTTCATCGTCACTACGGGGGTGGTGACGGCCTGGTCCTCTTGGGGGTGTCTATACGTGGTGGTTGCCGATAATTTGGGCGTCGCGTCGCCGACGCTGCCGTTGATCGTCATGCGATCATCGAGCGAGATGCGCGTCGTCGCCACCAGTCCCGCGAGGGTTGGAACATCCCCACGAACTCACTTCCGGTAAACGCGGACCGGAACACGTAGATCGCGCTATTCGAATGTCCGGCGTTGACGTTTGTTGAGATGTAATACAGTGCTGTTGAAGAAGACGTCGACGGAATAAAAGAGGAAGGGGTTCGATTGGCGTGGTCATGAGAATTGTGGAGACTATTCGAAAGCTTCGAGTATCTTAATATATCAAAAAATTGTGGACTGAGATGTATAATAATTAGTTTTAATTGCTTAAAAAAAGCCAAAACTGATTTAAAAAAAAATAAAATAAACGATAGCAACGAAAATTTAAATATAAACACATATAAATACATATTTTTGCCGGCAAAGACCTGTTGTGCGATTAATGAAACGTAATCAAATTTATGTATCGGTGATGTCAAATCGTTTGGAAATTTAACCGTGAATGAGGAATAATTAAATCGTGCGGAAGGTAAAATGTGTTAGGATAAAGAAGATTCATCGCGTCGTAAATCTGTGCAGTGTGTAGTTTGAAGATTAATCAAAAAAGTTCGCGTGTTAATTTAACTCAACTTTCGGCTATATCGTCTCGGTCATAGGAACAAAGTGAAATTGCATTTGTGTGTGCGTTTAGTGATTATTGGGAAAAAAATGTGCCGATTTTTCTCAGTGCGCAAAGTCTCTTTTGATTTCATCGAATGGAGTCCTTGTTCTTGAACGGTGAGTTTTAATAATGATAATCTTTATAATAATTCTATTATTATAATATATGATTGATATCTCTCACAGATAATACAAAATTTTATAACATTTCTAAATTGTAAATTTATTTATCTTTTTATTAAAATTTGTATTTGAATTTTTTTTTTAAATAATTTAGTATAATATTACGAGAAAAGCTTTACGTGGCTAATGTTATCTCCAAGATTAAAAAAAAATAAATAAATAAATAACACTTCTATATCTATTAAAGAGATATGCAAATATTAATCAAATTAAAAAATGAAGCAATAACATTATAAACGAAATATATAAATATGTATATAAACAGTTTATAATTGAAAGAAGATAAATAACGTCATAGCAAATACGTGAATTTTTAACTTACGCGGATATAGATTCTTGTGTTTTTTTCATTCCAAGTTTAATTAAAATGATCAAAAATAATGGTTATATTTGCTGAATGACTGAAACGTTCAGCGAATTAAATTTAACGAGAGAAGATTTCGGCACTCCCATATCGAATTTAAAGTGCGAAAGAGGAGGAAGGGAGGTTAAACGGAACCTCATCGTTCCGATCTTCCACATCGCGCGGAAACATGGCGGACGTTTTCGCTCAACAATGAAATTTCTGTTTTTCCAACGGTAACCCGCCGCGGGGGTTTCCGCGTTTAAATATTCCCGAAGTATGCAAATGCTGTAAATTCGCTGGAAAATATACCCGGTGCTCGAACGTACACATATATATATACATACATATACATATATATATGTATTCGGGATTATCGACTCTCGTTATACCTAGATATCGCAAAACGTTGCACGCGAAAATGTATTAACCCTGTGGCCCGCCGATAATTTGCATAAATGGTCGGCGAAATTCACGCTGCCATGTCGCGATCTCCGCGCGCGCCCGTTTACTTCAAAGCGGATTACAAGTTACCGACGATTTACGCGCTCATTATGCCTTTTCGAGCTCTCGCGGTTACCGCCGAAGTACATGGCAAGAAGTTTCAGACACACTTCTGGAATAAACTCCGAAACGCGATATATCCTTGGCTTCGGCGGTTGCACAAGGCACGTAACGTTGTTCCACCCTTAAGCGCGCATGGCTTAGCGTATATACACAATATTTCGCGCATCCAAACATAATTATGTGTTTGGACACGCAAGAGTTAATTTAGACGCGAGACGATAATGATTATGGGACACTTTAGCTTTTCTCGGCAAAAAAAAAAAAGAAAATTTTTTTCTCACTTTTCTATCGCGTTGCGAAATTCTGAATTAGCTTTAATCGCGAAGAATGCCGCGAGAAATTTGCGCGGTTTCGTAAGCGAGAACGATATTGTTCTCGGATTAAATATGTCTCCTCTGAAGAGAGGAGACACGCGTGTCCAATCTCTCGCATCTCGTATTTCCTTCAAAAATACGCCCCGCGTATGTTTGTAACGTATTGGAAAAATAATCCCGACCTGGCGCGCGAAGAGAGAGCCCGGAATGCAAATGCGTTCTATTGATAAATGCAGGCGGCTAACAAACACACGTATCTACACATACGAATTGCCTGCGATTCCTATTGAATGAAATTTGTTCTGCTTACGTACATAAGACGTCTGATTTATCTTACCCGACGCAACGGGGCGAAACGCGGATTACGTGCCCCGCATGTGTACATTCCCTTGGCGTGTACCCCCCTCTCGAGAAATATGCGGCGAGATTCGACGGGCCGCTTCAGTTGTTCAGGATTAATCGCCGTGAGAGAAACAACACCTGCTATTCATCGCCGCAAAGTCGTTTATTAATACCCATGGAGATGTACAAGGTATTCCAAAGGGACAATACGTGTAGCACATTGAAAAGTACAAAGTTCAATATATGTACATGCAGGGGATTAATGAGGAAACTTTACCAGGTAGTAAATCTTAGAGCTGTTGTATTCTGCAATGTCTAGACTCCAGAATTTAATCGATAAAACATCGTATTGTTTTCAATTTTCCTACATTAAAATTTTTATATATAATTCCGTTATATCTATAAATAAATTTTTATATTTATACTTTAAGATTGGATATGAATTATAATCGTTAAACGGATTAGGCTCAGATTGAAAAAATATTTATTATTAATATATTACAAAGCAAAATCGTCGCTGTTTAAATTTTATATTTTAATTTTCTCATTCACATGCAGATTAATCGTCGTCACAATAGATGCCTTGACGAGCGTCGCAAGATTAGTTCGAGTGGTTGGAAACTTATTTCGCGCTACAAATAGCCTCATGAGGGTAATAAGTAGTGAGGTTGTCGCGTAATAAGTCTTCGGCTATGCGATATTCGAAATTGAGAGGCTGATTCACGCCGCGCTTAGTGAATAGCACGTTCGCTCGGTGACGAGATGAAAGCCGCAAGTTTTGATGAAATGCATTCTATTCGCTGCAGTAACTATGTATGAAGGCTCGCGTGCGTAAGTAAGTGGGTAACGTGTGCTGGTTAGACGCGCACCCAAAGATACGAAGCGAGAGGGATTGGGAGGATTCATCCCTTCAAGTTCTTCTTTCTGACTCTCTCTCTCTCTTTCTCTCTCTCTCTCTCTTTTTCTCTCTTTGCTTCGACTTCATCTCGAGAGCTGTCCCCGTTTCGCGCCATAATCAGAGTTCAGCCAACTTTGCTCTTTCTTCGCTTCTGCCGCGGTCCAACTAGACGTATTACTCTTTCTCTTCCTCACTTTGGCTGAAGTTTCTTTCCGGCGTGAATAGAATCCTGCCGGTTCAAAAATCAAAGGTTCGAGATCCTAAAATTGAAATATAAGAGCTTTTTGTTGGGAATGTAAGGACCGGAGAGTACTTGAGATCGCGCGAGTTTGCGACGATAAAGGAGACTCGAGGAATCGTTGTAATCTAGATTTCTCGGGAAAAAAAGTGTATATAAAAATGTAAAATTTATTTAATATTGCTCGTACAATACAAAATTGCTCGTAAATTTCAAGCACGAATTGTCGATACAAGTTTTTAATTTCCGTATTCAAGTAATAATTGTGAATCTTAATCCTTTGAAAGATTCTTTAGAGAAAATTTATATTTCTAAAGTTCCACGTACTTTTTCCAATTTCCCCTTGCACATTTTTAGATGTTGGATTTTCAATCCTTTAGATTCAACGTTTGGCTTTTTAGATCTTAGATTCACCGGACATTACTAGATCTTAGATGCATGGAATCCTTCCGATCTTAAGCTATTCAAGTCTTAGATTTTTTCTTCAAATAAAGATAAAATTAACTTTTAGATTATAAAATTATTAAATTTTGTATTATTAAATCTTTCTTAAGATTTTCTCTAGAATTTTTATATTCTAATATTTTTTCGTCTATTTTAATTCTTGCATTCTTGTTTTTAATAATCTTTTAATTGTTAAATTACACGATCATATATTCTAAAATCTCTCTTTGATATAACATGTTTTATCTTCTGTTATAGTTATATCTTCTTGTATTTACTTTTATGTCTGTAATTTTTGTAATAATCTCAAAGCTTAATATATAATTTTCAATGACATTTGCAAAAAAACGTCAAATAAATTTCGGGAATAATTTCATGAGTTTGAGAGTGTGCGAAACCACACACACAACTAAAGATATATCGAAATAATCTCTCACTCATCGATCGAATAACTGCGCATTGCCCTGCACGATAACGAGCGGAGCGTTTATTAACACGGCTTTAGTCGCGATCTATTAATTGGATGACGGGGGTTGATTACCGTCCGCATGTTTCGCGTGGATCGAGCGGATGCCGGCGAAAATTGCGAGCGGACGCGCAGTGGAACCCGGCCAAATATAATGTGCACGCTATGATGCGCCCAGGGTATCTCGCGCGAGCACAAGGTGAAAAATGTCTCACTTTACACCTTAGTTTCAGTATCGCCATTTAAGTAACATATCGTGGAAACTTTGCCCGGCCCCGTATCTCGAGCGAGTCGAGTTCGGTAGGGACGGATCGATAATCCGTTACGGCGCATTTTATTTCGATAGCCGCGCGCCACATATTTCAGAAACTATATCAGAAAGCCGAGAAATTTTTATTCTCATTATTAAAATCTCCTCGGTATCTTTAAATCTGAATTTTCGACATCGTCGAATATCGAAATCCTCGAGTGGTTCAAGCTTGCAATCTTTTGCTTGATCTCGCGGTTTCTAGAATTATCATAAATTTTTGTAAATAACGTTTTTAAAAAGAATACTAGATTCTGATGCAGATTAGTTTGCACTAGCGTGTTAATTAAAATCTGTGATATTTTCGAGCACATACGTTCAACAAATGAAGCAAATGGAAAGTATAAAAAGGAAGCATTAGGAGAATTCTTCGAATTGTCTAAAGATGCAGGTATCGCAATACCAAGATCGATTTTGCTTCAAAAAAGGCGCAGTCCAATCTTGCTTCTTGTCTTTCGCGATTGAACGACAGAAGCGATTATTATCCGTGTTGTAATTCGATTCCCACCGTGTTCCGAGTGACAGTTCGATCTCGGTCTACATGGATACTCTAATACCTCGGGATATTAGGATCTTAGGAAATGGAATCAACGGGGAAGGATAGCAATTCAGGGATACTGCAGCGAGCAGCGGGGAGTCCATAGCGAAAACAATGCAGTTAACTCGATCGCCACTTTTGTACAAAATAAACGCGCATTTTACGAGTATTCGTCGAATAAAAGCATCAATGTATAAATTAAAAAAAAAGAAGATGGTATTCTCTCTCTCTTCCTTTTTTATTCTCGACTTACAGTTATTTATCTTACGAGAAGAATCGAAGTTGCATCAAATGTGAACGTCGCATCGCGGATCTTCGATTGAGTGACCCTCTTTATTTGTCGAAGGTTTCTCCCAAAGAAGGGACTCCACGTTGATTTATAGAGAAAGTTTGTGCCGCGCGTACGCGGAATCTTGTTTCGGTACTGTTACGTCGTTCGTAAGTTCCTCTTTCTCTCTCGACAATCGTAAGAGTTCG